ATATATCCAACATGTTCATTGAAACATTGAATATATTGTGTATACTTTATCTCTGTAAGTTTTCTTTTGACACGTTTTTCATTTTGAAGTAGTGTATATTATGTTTAATGTATGTCAAGCAGCTTCATGTAGACATTGTGTGTAGTGCGTATGACGTTTCACTTAAACCACGTGTATATATTGTATATATGTAGCACTTCCGACTTTAAGTCTCATTTAGAAAAAGCGTTTATTGTCTATCATGACATTTCATATTAAGATATACTTTTGTTGTGTTTATTTTTCAGATAGTAACGCCAACATTTAGATAGTGTGTCCATATTGCATTTTTAACATTGTGTTTTCTTTATCTCCAAAAGTTTTATTCAACATTGTGAGTTCTTTATCTCCAAACGTTTTAGTTAACATTGTGAATTATTTATTTCCAAAAGTTTTATTTAACATTGTGTACTCTGTATCTCCACAAGCTTGCCGCAAAAGGCGACTATGCTTGTCGTGAGAGGCGACTAACGGGATCGGGAGGTCAGGATCGCTGACTTGGTTGATACATGTCATCGATCCCAATTGCGTGGATCGATTCTCATGATATTAATCACTGGATTGTCCAGACTCGATTATTTAGAGCCCGCCGTCATATAGCTGGAATATTGCTGAGTGCGGCGTAAAACAACAAACGAACCAACATTCTCAAAAGTTATATTTTACATTGAGAATTCTATATCTCCAAAAGTTTTATTTAACATTCTGATTTTTTTATTTCCAAAAGTTTTATTTAACATTGTGAGTTCTTTATCTCCAAAAGTTTCATTTAGATACGTTTTTCATTTTGAAGTAGTGTATATATAGTATTTTCATTTAAATTTTATGCAGTGAGTTTATATCCAAAAAAGTGATTGTACCATAACGGGAATCGAACTCGGGTATTCGGCGTGACGAGCGAACGCTTTAACCACTAGGCTACCCGACTGCCCCTTATCCGAAAAAGGCTCATTAATACAACGTGTGCATATAGTGTAAAACATTAACAACAGTGCCATAGAGATCCAGTACATATAGTGTGTATTATATATACAACAGTTTCCTTCGGACCTATTGTGTATATACAGCATCACACAGAAAACTGTGCTTGATCCCGTGCTATAAAGTAATTTAATTCGGTTTAGTGACTGAGTGTGTCTATTGTGTATAGTCTAAATAATGAAAATCTACAGTTAAATTGGTTTACCGTGTATTATTGTGCGCATCCCTCATGGCGTCGTACATCACGTAGATATATTGGTATGTCACGTGCCATAAAATACATCAATTTGTTTAACTGACCTAGCCTGTATATATTTTGAATAGTCTATGGAATCAACGGTTTAAGTGGCATTCCGTTCACTGTTGCACATATAATGCATCTCTTACTGCTATCGTACAGCATCACCTAGACATATACTTATTTCCATCCTTTGGTATAAAATACTTTGAGTTAATTAACTTAGGGGCTCGTCGCCTTCATTACCCCATGGAGCGCCGCAGTTGTATACACAGTGTGGGCCTTCTGTACATCGGCTCTGTGATTTCGGCAGGTACACACAGATGCAATCAACAACTCAGTAATTAACAGTGATCAGCACTAATTACTTGGCGGTGATCACCCTTTGATTAGCATAACGAGGGCATTGAGATCAAAACAACATGGAGGGCGATACATACAAACGTACTTACACGATGAAAAGTATTGATAGCTCTTTGTGTCTCTCATAATTGTCGATCGATTGTTTGTGTGCTATATTACTGATAGTCCTCCAGACAACAACAAACAAACAAATGCATAGTTTCCATATCAACCCCCTATGTGAGGATATCACAACACAATTAGGCAGTGGGAACATTCTAGTTTCGGCTCTGGGACTTAGACCTTCGAACTTGAGGGAGTTAGTGAGGGGGTTGGTTTAACGCCGTGTTGAACAGTATTACAATTATATCACGGCGTGTCAAATTGATGGGTTTTGTTGGTTTTGTTTGTTGTTAAACGCCGCACTCAGCAATAGTCCAGCTTTACGATGGCGGTCTGTAAATAATCGAGTGCGGACCAGACAATCCAGTGATTTGCATCATGAGCATCGATCCACGCAATTGGGATCGATGACATGCATCAACCAAGTTAGCGATCCTGACCTCCCGATCCCGTTAGTCGCCTCTCACGACAAGCATAGTCGCCTTTTGCGGCTGCCATGGGTTGCTGAAGACCTATTCTACCCCGCATCTTCACGGGTCCAACTTGAAGTGATGCAGGTCTTAGACCTTAACCACTATGGTGAAACCCACGAGCACGGGTATAGTGCTGACAAACCTAGAAACATATCGGGGCGCACCGAGATTCGAACTCACGATGATCATAGGTTTCGGGTGTGTCCAAGGGACGCAACTCTGCACAGCGAATTGCGGCGCCTAAGACAAGTGGGCCACCCAGACAAATCTGGCGCCATGTGTGTGTTTAACAGCAACAATGTAAATACACTCTTATTATCTTTATTGTATTCGCCATACTCTTGCAACGTAAATCTAGATAACGGGAAGCTAAAATACAAAATAAAATCAATGTGCCGGTCCAAAAGTTAAAACTCGACATCCAGAAAACCTCGTGTTTTGTTCGCTACTTTTTTTACCTTTGAAGAAGTATGGCTAATTGTTTAACAATACATGTCATTAAAAGTATCTTGAATGATTTGAGTGTAATAAAACATATTGAAACTACAAATTGTCTTTTTTTCATTTTCCCAGTGTGACTTCTCATTTGAGTGAGTGAGTTGAGTTTAACGCCGCTTTTAACAATATTCCAGTTATATCGCGGCGTGTCAGCTGGATGTTGGAGGATAGCCCGAAGTGATGCAGGTCTCAGACGTTTACCACTTCGGTGAAACCCACGAGCACAGGTATGGTGCTGACAAACCTAGACACGGGAGTCGAACCAACAATCATAGGTTTCTGGCATGCCCAGGGGACGCAACTCTGCACAGCGAATCGCGGCGCCTTAGACGACTGGGCCACCAGTGCCCCCTCTTCTCATTTGAAACTAAATCAATGAAATTAAGAGGAGCGGATTCTAATCCGAGATCACTCAACCACATGGATTGTCTATTGGAACAGAGCACTCAACGAATTGTTTCATAGGCATTTCTTAGAATGGTCACTCAACCGTAAAGATTGTTTTTTGAAACAGAGCACTCAACGAATTGTTTCATAGTCATTTCTTAGAATGGTCACTCAACCATAAAGATTGTTTATTGAAACGGTATCCCAGTGCGAAACAGAACGCGAAGAAACATTTGTGTATGAAATATCCTGCTGCCCAAGAATGTATAAGTTTGAAAGTAATCGGGTTTTTTTAAATAATCCTTATTTTATATCCATGGCTTTGTTATACTTGTAAACGTTTCTAAAACACACTGATGTGTTCGACATATGTCTAAACGTGGACGCGATACTGTTCAAATGGCACCATTAACCTTAAGTTATACTGTGGGAATGCTTTATAAATGCAATTGCATGTTTATACTTTATCTGCAACAAAATCCATTTCTATACATAATACTCCGATTAGAGTAACTGGTTATCATTAAGAAACATAAATCATTCGACCAGATCAATCAGTATTTTTGACAGATGAGCTGTAGATTACACCCAGCGTACCGATTTATCAACCTAGATGATGGTCAGTTAATTTCATACCTTTCGTGGGATAAAAAAATAAAGCGAAAGGTAACGAAAATTATTAATCGAACAAATTATCAACAAATCGTCATTGTCAGCATAAGAATATGAATGATCTGTAAAAATGGTTAAGATAGATACAATATAAATAAAGAAGATCTATAGATATATATTCAATTATTTAGTTTATTCTTTTTTCATATTTACATTATCTAAAGAGTGAGTGAGTGTGGTTTTACGCCGCTTTTAGCAATATTCAAGCAATATCAAGGCGGGGGACACCAGAAATGGGCTTCACACTTATCTTAAGAGTGTAAGCAAAATTAACAGAACACGTTTTACCCAAGGTATCTTTGCTAGTAATGTTTGTTTATATAAAACATTTGTCAAAGGCTCAATGAATCCACACGCAAATAAAAATGTAGTCATTCTTATCGTTTGTTAGTTATAAAAATTCTCAACACAATACATAACACAAATTGTCTATCTGAAACGATGCTTTGTTTTCATTCTAGATCAATGGGTCAGACAAGCAGTAGTCGTTTCTTTTTTAATTCCCTTGTCAAACAACAACAAACCATTTGTCCCAAATCACAAAACAAACTTCATAATTTACATTCAATACGCAAGGTAAACCAATTATGTCGCTAAACCTATCCCTAGTTTTGATTGCTAAATACACACCCAAACAAGTCCGTTGAAACATGTATGTCTGGCCAGTAACAAAACAGTCAAATGGATTAATGCCGCGAATGAATATGCTGATTCATTGAACATTGCCAATGTCGGTTTATTATTTCACCTTCAAAGCGTCGTGCCCTAATTTTCCATAAATGGAAAATGACGCCATCTTGTTTTTCAAGCTTACAGGTGTCATTGCTTACAGTCACTTTCATTTAACGTTAATTTCAAATTAATACACGAACTAAAATCAATCTTTTCATTCACATACCTAACGGATTGTAGCACTATCGGTTCTAATATGTTCGATAATTTTAGAGTTCTAATTCGACAGAGTAATCGCACAGGTATGTCACATCAAAGGTGCGCATGACATCAGACTGCCCACGCCCGCATTGGTTGAAGAGAAGTATTTACAAAAATGGGCTGTTACTGTTACCCCCCTCGTTCAACACGAAACGGGTGAACGCCTGTAAGATCCCGAACCTTTGCAACATACGTATATATATCAGTGTTACCATCGTCATAAACACATTTTCTTTATACTAGTCTCGTGTGCTACATTGCATCTCAAAACAGACTGCTTTTTTCAAATCGCCGGTAGCACACGAAGAGGGAGGGGAATGGAACAGCCATCACATTCCCTCCGCTATGTTCGAACAGGAAGCAGGGGACAGATAACAGAAGAGTGAGTAATGGAGTGAGAAAGGTAGATAGATCCGAATCACCACACGAAGAAAGGACTGTGATTGGGAAGAGGTGAATGGAAATTCGGAAAGTTGTGGATTATTGTACGTTGGGATAACGCAAGACAAAGTGCGGAGCGGAGGGGATACCTCGACTCGTCTGGATTCTAATTTTCGATTCAAAGGAGAAAACCTCAGCCGTTTATACCAAGATTGTGAAATTACATGTGTGTTCGTCAGTGGATGCTGGCTTATCCACGCTAACTGCTGACCATGTATGAGGTTTTTTGTTTCTAGAGGTTGTGAATGTTATAGGTTTTTTAATTGGAAACACCGATCTCGTTTTCTGTGAGGGTCGCTCACCTTGACAAACATGGCGGCTTCCATGAACCGATGCGTCTGCAAAGCAGCGTTTCTCCTACATTCCTTTCTGGTCTTTGTGAGCTCAATCCATGGATTACGTTCTCAGGATCACAATATAATATATATGCAAGATGTGGATTTCAATTCCGAAATAAGCCCTTATTTGACACATCACCGTCACGCCAGATCCAGACCATACCACGAACGAGTGAAGCGAGATGCGACACTTGCTTTCCAAAGGACTCTAGCCGAAAATATCACTTTTACTGAACCAATTTTCCAACTAAGCACACAGGTTAACGGTCCCCATACATTTGAGATTGTTTCGTCAACAGTTGATATGCTCACTGTGGGTAGTACATCTGGAAATGTGGTGTTGAAGCCTGGTAGAACATTTGATTATGAAGACGATACACAACGGAGCATTCAGCTCGTTATCAAAGCAACAAACCAAAATAACATCACAGGTAACGTATATTATCCATAGAATCTTTTTTGAAAAATGTGTATACTTAGATGTATATATAATAAAATTTCATGTACGTCATTCATGAAACATGGTAGAATGTCACAACTAAACACCTGTACACCGTTGACGGTGATTATTGCATGTTTAAGATTAAATGTAAAGTTGTTTTCAGCACCCCCAGGAATGTTTTCTTTCATATCACGAACAATGACAAGTTACTTGCATGGGATGTATTTTTTTTGCTTGAATAGGGATGTTGTTTTGCTTGAAAAAGGGATTTTTTTTTGTGGAAACCAAACATCTTGATTACAACGAATCATGAAATATGTTGTATAAGCTAAACAATTTCTCGCTCCACCTAATGGAATCTGTACAAGATATATTCAGAAACATACTCTTTAAAAAAATGACATGTAACCTTAATTAGACACAAAATTGATTAATGAATGTATCTTTTTGATGATTCATGGTAGCATGGCCCCTCCCTCTTTTTTGCAATACCTGTTCAACAACTGGCAATTCATAATATTGATATGCTGGCATCATACTCCCTAGTAACACATAATGTTAATTTCACTGACTGCCATAGCCTTTCATTTGTAGTGAAATAAAATGTCAGTCTTTTGATTAGCGGTCACAATCAGGGAAATCACTGACATAAATCAATGTTTCATATGGTTTCCTTGTAAGTTATCCTTATTGTTCTGCGTGTCCTGTAATATGACTACATTTTCTACAGTGACTTCTAAGCAGTATAGAATTGCTTGTAGTGCTCTATTTATGTATGTTCAACTGCAGGTGCTTGGCAGTGGTAGCGAAGTACTTTGTGGATGTGTAGAAGCAGCAGGTATTGGCTTAGGCAGGAATAGGTGGGGATCTTTGCAGGTGCCCCTTACAGTGAATTGGACATAAGATTTGACCTGGGCAAGCTTTTAAGGGTTTGGATAAACAGGAAGGAGGTCGGATGCCAGAACTGGTGCAAGCCAAAGCCTTTTAAGTTCATTGTAGTCATTATCTGATCATGGCTGGACAGTCTCTGCTTAGGCTATAAAACTAAAGGTGGTGTTTCCTGTCGACCCAGTTTGTTACTACTGTAACAAAGTCCTGGGTACTACTGTAACAAAGTCCTGGGTACTACTGTAACAAAGTCCTGGGTACTACTGTAACAAAGTCCTGGCTATTGGTATTGAATGAGGCGAGGTGTACCCACGATCAATGTTTTGAATCATTCATTTCTTTCTATTCATTATACCAAAACATCCAGTTAATTAGTAGAATTGATTGGTGACAAGGAAGAAACAGGATTGGAAAAATAGGCTACGTTTTCAAATCCTTGTGTAGTCGCTGACATCATGACCAGTTTTATCAACAGATTAGTGACGGTGATCTGAAAGAATCTGTCCTCAAGATAGTTATTGAATTCACGTTTTTCTCTGAAGGAATTGGTGTTTTGTATCCATGATACATGGCTTATTACAATATCCAATGAGGACAATGGAAAAAGAAATGTCCAGCATAAACCTGATTAAGACAACCTTTTTTTTAATTACTTATATCTCTGAACTGCAGGTGAAAATAATAAGATTAATAATCGGTAGCACAGCACAAGAAGAAATAAGTCTACAAGATATATATTTTAACTGTTTTGTTTAGGTCAGACCATCTATTTATGGAACCTGTAGATCAAGTTTTTCTCAAATTGGGAAAAGAAACCATTTGAAAATATAAAATGTGCTTCACCTAGATGTTTTTTTTAATTTCAAGTAAGGGTGGCTGCTCTAAATTCAATTCATTGCCGTTATCAGTATGAAAGCCTTCTAGCCAATTCTCTACCAACAGCTTATCTGATTGTGTGTTTTGAGAATCCATATTTATAATGGCGGTAAACGTAAAAAAAAACTGTAAGGCCAAAAACCAAATATAGTTGTTTTCGTACATTTTAATATTTCTTGTTACCATTTCTTCTGGCATTCTGTCAAGTGACAATTGTTGAAGGTCCAGTAACCTTGTCAAGGGGTATGATTGTCACGACTGACGGTAACTCTGTTAATGACCTGAAGCACTGCAGTGCTTTTGACAAAGTAAACAGCAAAAATGTTCAGATAGAAACAGTTTCATGCACCTGAAGAAAGCCATGAACACTGAAAAATGTTTATATTTCAACCCATTTGCACATCTTGGTAACTTTCAAATTGAAATAATTGAAAGTCAGTGTTGTGAACACGGGCACTTCAAAACAAGATGGCTTGTGAAGTTTCTGTCTTTGATAAGCTGATAAACATTCATTTCACTGACTTCTGTAGATAATGGAAAACTTTGTGGTGACTACCATCTCTATAATGGCTTCCTTCAATATTGAATCGCAATGGCATAGACTTTACCTGTGAAAATTTGCCGTCTATTGGCAAGAAGATTGTAACCCTTGAACAAATTCACTTTTTCCATCCTTTCCCTTTTTTCTCCTGGATCTGACATTTCCAAAAGAATTTCCTGCAAACAAAGTAAAATAGTTTGGCATTGCCTTACTGGAAACAATAATGATTTCTTTTGTAAAAGTGTCATTTTGAAAGTGTTACTAATGAATTAAACAGGGCCATAACTAGCCAGAAGGTTAGAAAGATCTGTGTAAGAACATGATTGATGCATGTCAGAAGAAAAAAAGAAGCCAAACTCCATTTTTCCCCTCACTTTTCAAAATTTAAGGTAGCTATGCTGAATGGAATTTGAAGCTATCGCACTATGTATCCTATTCAGTCCCATATTGAGTATCATGATGTACCCTGTGTGGCCTTCATTCTCCTTAAGTATGTTTCTTTGTCTAACAAGATTGTTGTCATTTTGTATTGTTTCTCAGCTAAAGCTTCCCACTGGGCAGCAGCAGACTTGAGATAAGCCCCCTAATGTGAAGAGACGAAGAATAATATTTCTGAGGTCACTGGTGTCACGTTAATCCCAAAGGCTTCATTTTCTCGTAATAAATTTGCTTCAGGACTTGAAGGAATTTGCACTAAGATCACTTTCTCATAGCCAGGTTTATATGATCAATCTCAGTAACAACATAAAAGAAAGCTGTTTTTGCCAGCTAGGACCTGATTAAATGAAACTAATGGCTTGTACATGTGGTAAACGATTACTCTGGTATAGCAGAGAGGAAGCATGTCTCTATGAAACTAATCATCAGTGTTAGAAAACTAGCTTTCGGGATCTGCTTTTGACAAATCACCTCCACATCACTCCGTATCGTCAAGTCTTGATAAGAAAGGCAGTGAAATCTTTGGATCGTGTATCGACAAAGCTGCAAGATAAATGGTGCGATTATGTGATTTACATTGATCAGGGAAGAGCACCTGCACATAGTTTGTTATATTGTTGTGTCATGAGAAGGGCAGGAGTATATAGATAAATTACTACATTTCTCATGTGAGGCAACATATGTCCTATATACTTATCCTTATTTATGGTTATTAAAGTAGGCTGAAAACTGTTTGCAGGGGCAGTATCAAAATATTACACTGCTTCATAAATCAAACTTGTACGTGTGCTAAAGGAAATACTTTTTGTAGAGGCCGTGTTAGTCACTCATTTGTTATGTACATTAATGATCTTGATCATCAACAAGACCTGTAGACTAACATCTAGTCTCTGTAATGAAACATATTTTAAAGAAAATACAATTGTTAAATTATAGTTTTAAATATAATAAAAAGGAGCCCAGAGACTTTCTTCATTTTCAGATACTGCAGTAATCTAGACTTGCCAAACATTTTAGACTTGCATGGGCCATATTGGACAATGTTGGATATATTTGTTTCAGGGTCTGTATGACTGACTACGAGACTTGTACACATGGTACCATGAAAACATCACAATCAAACCTATAGTGAAATAATGTTTAAATGAAATTGCTTGCTATCTAGGGTTAGTTGATTAAAAAAGAATTAAAGAGAATATCATTCTACCGATATTTTTTCATGCATAATAAACTGATGCATGTAAGAAAGATGCATGTGTTGTATCAGACATGCTCGATAAGACTACATGTAAGCAGGTCATCATAACTATAGCAGTTATGTTTTGACGTGAATATGACAGTATTGTTATCAAAGCCTAGTCATGTATGTATCAAAAGCAGACTGCTGTCACATGTCCCGGTGAATCAGCAGCGCCAGATGTTGGTGTTTATTGTGTGTGTTGTAATTACACACCTGACAAAGGAGAGTAGACTGGGAGCAGTGCAGTAGTGTTCTCCCTACTCCACTTAGTAGGTGTGAGTCAACATTCTAGTCAGATATTGATCTGTTTTAGGTCTTTGAACACACTGTTGGAGTTTGAGAGACAGGACATCAATATATTTCTAGTGAAGCATGGGGAGGCCTTCCTCCCTTCACACTGGGGTGTAGATTGCCTACTGTAGGGAGATAGAGGCGTGCAAATGTGCTAACGCATACACTCAGGGTGTGTGTGCTGTACTCCATTTGTATTAGAGGAAGGTGTGTCATTTCTAGGTGCATGTTGACTTTGAACTAATGTGATAAAGGCCTTAAGCATCAGATTGTCTGCATGGTTGCTATGTATTATGTAGACACAGAACAGACAATTGAAAACTGAGATCAGAAGTACTGGCATTTAGTCTATGAAATCTTATATTACGCAATACCCTTCTTGACCATGCATTGACTCTAAAAATAAAAAAAATAGTTTTCCCAATGCTGATTTCATAGAGCTAGCTAGAGCTGGCTAGACTTGCTTTTGTATACATTTCTATACATTTTTTTTCATAAAATATATATATTCCACAGCCATGGTGCAGGACTAGTACTGGCAGTGTGCTTCAGATTGCCATGGAGTCCTGGTCTTGGATCTATCTGTAAGATGTTTGTATCCCCATCTATTTCTGAGATAGCTCCCCATGTTTCAGCTTCACAGGTACTTGGTCACTTGACCATGTTGACCCACACATTCAAATATATCCAGGGGTCTGTAAACACTTTCACGATG